TTCTTTTTTTCCATTAACTCAGTGCTTGGGGGAAACTTTATACTAAAATTTGATTTTTTTCTCTTGTGAAAGACTAACTGAAAAGAATCTTTGTCTTTGACTTGTTTTCATTTATTAATAACTGAAATAAAATCAAGGAGATGAGAATCTTTAATAAGTTCTATGACAGTATAATTCTACAGTTTCAATGTGACCTTGATAAATTGCTAATATAAAGAGAATTTTAAGACTGTTCATGTTATGTTTCAGTACCATTTTCTGTTGTGGTATTATAGGTGGCTTAATGATGGAATTTTGATAGGTTTTGTGGTGTCTTGTGAGCAAAGTACTGTGTCCAGTATTGGAATGGAATTGTCACTACTTTACCATGAGTGGACATTTTAATTCTGTGGTTTCTTCAGTATTACAGTCTGACTTGTAATCAATAATGAATATTTCTTGATATTTAATGTATAGGACATTTATTTATACTCAATAAATATTTTTCAAAAGGAAAAAAAAAAGAATGTCTTTGATGGTTATGACTCATTAGGGAAATAGAACTCAAAACTACACATATTACCTCACACTTATTAGGATGGTTACTACAAAAAATAAAAAACACAGCAAGTGTTCGGGGGGGGAAAAAGAAGCTACTGTTAGTGAGGTGCAGCAGTATGTATCTTAAATCATCCAAAGTAAAAAGGAAAATTAAATACATGGTAGACTGACTCAAATCCTAGTATATATTCAAAAATTTTTGGCAATTATAACAATCAACTACCTTTTTAGAATTTCATTCTTATTCTCATCTAAGGCATATGAATACAACTGTTGTAAGAGAAAAGCTACTTGTAGGCTACAAAAAATTATGGCATAAACAATATTTAAGAATAATTAACATTTATTCTTGGGTAAAAGTAGCCAATTGAACATAATCAACCACCTTTCATTGCTTTCTGGCAATCCCATTAATTAAGAGGGATTTGGACAAAAACCCCAAAGAGGAAAAACAGAAGTAAAAGATAACATTACCAAAACTGGTGAAACTTAAGACAAGTTAGTTTCTAATAGACACAGGAAAACTGAATTGTCAAGGCAAAAGCGGAGGGAGGCTGACTTACTGCTAATTTTTGAAAGTAAAGGTAAATAAAGAAGGGCTAAACTATGGAGGACGAAACTGTCAGATTCTACCAGATCCCTGCTCAAATATACAAAGCAGGCTAATACCAATCTGTCATCCTACACAACCATGAAGATTTTCTTTTGGTGGTGGTGGTGGGTGGGGAGGGGGGATAACAAAGTTTCCAGTAATTTGAAGGTTACAGTGCAATATACTAGAAAGAATATTAAGTGACCATGCAAATTCTCTAGATTACTCCCCTAACCTATCTGTCAAGTAAGGCAATAAGTTAGATTTCTAATCACAAGGCAAATCAGACCAGTTTCCTCTAAACAGTACGGGCTTTCCAAGAGGAAAGAGCTAAAAACTGACATCTGAGGTTCTTCAATACGAAAATCAAGTAGGATCACTCTACACTGGTGTTTATAGTCAAAGGGTCCCAATCAGAAACGTAGAGCTTCAGTTAGAGGAAATATACATATGGGGGAACAAAATTTTTTAGAAAAATTATTCTCCTTAACACAGATAAAATAGTGTAACAATGAAACCAAAAAAGCCTACTTTAAAATGGAGGATGGGAGGTAACACTGAATAAGAAAAAACTCAAAAAAATCCCAGTAGATCTGGAATTGTAGTTCAGTGGTACAGTATGCGTTTATCGTGCACAAGGTCCTGGGTGTGGTGGCGCCTGCCTGTAATCCTAGGGTTCAGTAACCCCACCCACCCATTAAAAAAAAAAAAAAAAAAACAGCAGAAAAGAAAAATTCAACATCAGGTTTGAAGATGAAACTGAGGGAGAAGATGAAGACATGAAAAGAACAAGGAAAAAGCTACAGGACCCCTAGGAGGTTCAATATCCACAAAATGGACACTGAATTTTCCAAGAAAAATACAATAAAAACAAAGAAACAATAACTTATGGACATTTCCTGTAACTACAGGATCAGGATGAAAGGACCTTCAAAGTTGCCAACAAGGCAAACAATTTGCTGTGAAAGTTCTGGAGGCAGGGGACCAACAAGATCTTAAAAAGTTAAATATGACACCTCAGAAATCAAACTTACTAGCAACATTGAAACAGTAAGTGATGGATATTGGCTTCAAATAATGCAAAGTACCCAGATATCCTAAGTAGGAGAACAGAATATACTTCAGATACCCAGAGAACACGCCACCAAAATTGTATGCATTTTACTCAGGAAGATAATAAAGATGACCCACAAGGGAGAAGACATCTCAGATGGATGATAAATAGAACACCTTGCAATAAATTTGTTCACATACATAAGTACAAAAGACAAGTCTATAAAGGAGTTAAATTAGATTTTTAAAAAATTTTAAGATT